CGCGACGGCCACCGCCCTGACCGCCCCTCCCCCGCAGTTCCTCACCGACGGGTACGCGGCCCACCTGGCCCAGCTCAAGTACAACCACCGGGCCCGGCCGGCCCGCAACACGGCCACCCGCATGGCGCTGCGCAAGGGCAGCTTCGGCCTGCCCGGCCAGAGCGACTTCCTGCGCTCCCGGAACCACCTGCTCCGGACCATCTCTGCCCAGCCCAGCGGGCCCGGCCTCAGGCACGAGCGGACGCAGACGCCGAGCCAGCCAGAAGGCGAGCAGCGGGGCCAGCGCAGCATGAGCGTGGCCGCTGGCTGCTGGGGCCGAACCATGGCCGGCCGGCTAGAGCCAGGGGCAGCCACGGGCCCCAAGTAGGGCCCCGTAGTGAGGCGCTGCGGTCTCCATGGTGCTAGGCCAGGTGGCCAGCCCACCAGGAGGCCTGGCCTGGGCACATGCCGTTGGCTGGGGACAGACTTGTCCCAGGGCCCAGCAGAGGACACTAGCTGTACCACACACAGCCCGCCCAGCCCTGCCTCACATCCTAGGGTCTTGAGGGGGTCCATTTGTCATGGAAACTGGCAGGACAGCCAGCCCCAGGATGACAGAGGGACCAGGACCCCCCACGTGGACCGGCCTTGAAGATTCTCCTGGACAACCGCCCTGCGTTGACCTCGAAGCATCCTCACGCCAGGCCTAGGCCCAGCCTGCCTCCTCCCTGGCCACTAGCTTGCCCTGACCCCCCCATACCCTCCCACCTGGTAGCAGCTCTGATGGGGGACAGCCTGCTTCTTGTTAACGCGAGTTAACTCTTCAGCCTCACTGGTTTTGCACTGATTTTTGGGAGCAGAGACCCGTTACCCTCTCCTGTGGCTATGGGCACATCCATACGCATGAAAAGTCAACTTTTGCTGATCCGGGACCTAGTGCCACACGGAAGGCTCCAGGGTGGCAGATCCCTGTGCAAGCAGGAGAGAAAGGCCATATCTTAATTTCTGCAGCTCTGCCTGACTATGGCAACCCCAGACCCCTGCCACCTGCCCCACCCGGAGCACAGTGAAGCTGTGAGCCTGACGTCCTCACAGGCGGCGAGGCCAGTGAAGACCAGGGCGGGCTCTCGGGAAGCCCAGCCTCAGCCTACGGCGCCAGGCCTGGCCGCCTCTTCCACTGCTCGCCTGCCATAGGCCAAGGCCCCACGCCTGGGCCCTCCCGCGTTTCTACACCTTTCTACTTCTCCGATCTGGTTTCTACGAGGTTTTTTTAAATAAGCAATCCTTGGCTGCTTCCTTTTCTTAACTCTTTCAGTACCAAGTGCAGCCCCTCCACACAGAAACGCCCAGCACTGTGACGGAGTCCAGCCTGGTTCTGGGTCCTGGGGCCCTGCCTCCTGAGCCCACCCAGTGGGGTGTGGGCTCCCTGCCTCACCTGATCCATTAATCCCACTGAATTTCTACTCTGGAGTGGGTGGGGCACACACTTGTTTCTTTTTTTAACGCCAATTCCGTTCCAATGCCGAGTCTGAAAAGCCACAACTCCCGTCTTTAGCTTAAGGGCAGGCAGCCACGGCGTGTCCTACCCGGCCAAGGCCGCGCCGTCCTGCACACTGGGCCTGCCTCAGCCCGCCCTCCCTGGGACTGCCTGCGAGCTCAGCTGCGGCGCTCGGCTCTGGGCGGCCCCTCTGCTGCTCCTCCACCTTCTTCAAGGCGGGGGGAGCCTGTCTGGCCTCATCCAGCCGTCCAGCCACGAGGCTCCACATCTGATAAGCTGCCGCCAGCCTGGCTACGCACGGCCTGGGGGCCTCCCGGGCTGGGATGGGGAGGTGCGCCGATCCGTGTTAACTTTTTTCCCGTGTGTAGATATGTACAGCCAAAGGGTCGTGTAAATGTTCTGCAAAAGGGGGCCTACACAGAGCGAAAGCTATTTATTTTGTGCAGAGAAGTGTCTGGAGGGATGGGACCTCCAGGCTTATTCATATTTAAGATGTAGCTTTTTGTTTTCCCAGGCGTTCTGTATAAAGCGACGATTATTTTATGGACCGAGTTTTAACGTAACTGTTGCAGTGAAAGTGCAATATCTGCCCTCCCCCTTCGCCCCCCAGCGGGAAACTGCTTGGCCGACAATCACAGCCCCTTGGGGGGCCCTCGTGGCCAGTGCCTCCCCCTCTATGGGCCCCACCTGGCCTGGGACTAGCCATTGGGAGGAGGACCCGGAAGAGTTCCGGCCCGCCCGCAATAAAGGCTGAGGCTTCCTGGCCGGGGGAGGCCCTGTGGGCGGTGGGCTCGGCCCCCCCAGCCGGCAGCCTGCCCCCCACAGCTCTGCGCTCCCCACCTTCCTGCCCAGCCGCCAGCCATGCCAAGGACAACAGCAATAGTCCCCCGGGCCTCTCCCAGCGGCCCCCAGCCATAGATGGCGAGGTGGGCAGCCTCCCCTCCCGCTGACGTCTCCTCCGTATCCAGGTCTGCTTCCTGCCTCCCTTTGAGATTCTTTTTGACACAGTCTTCTCTTGAGGAAGCACCAGTTTTTCAAAAACTAGGAGAAGGAGGGCAGAGTCCTTTAAAAAATATATACCAAAAATGTTTACAGCGTTGGGTGCTGAGCTGCGGGGCTCAGGCCTGACCGGTCATTACCAAAGGGTAAGGCAGACCTTGCTGACTGCCACCCACCCAGGCCTGTTAGAGTAGAAGCCTTAGTCCCATGCCCACCCCCCCACCTGGCCACCTGCCTTCTCTTTGATTTCTAAAGAGGGATTTCGCAGAGACCCCCATCCCCTGCTCAGCTCTGAGCCGCCCGCCCACCCACCACGTTGGTCTCTATGTCTCAGCCCCTCCCATCTGTCTGTCCGTCCGGGCCCTGTGTGAGCAGCGTCCTGATTCCCCACCTGCCCTTGCTGTCCCTGCGCCATCGGGCCTGAGTGTGCTCTGTATACGGTGTCATTGTCTGTCACACAAATTAAAGAAGCAGGACGGCTTCCTTCTGGGTCTCGTTACTGCACCAGCCACCAGAGCAGCAGGTGGGGCGGGGGTGGCAGAGGGGGCACAGCTTGTCCTGTGCACAATGCCCACTGCATTCATGGTAACACCAGTGGACTTGCAAGGGTCTGATCCTGTGCTGGCCCATTCTAGCCCCTTCCTGGGAGTGAACTTGGCTAATCCTCCCAGCAACCCAGTGACGTGGGCGCTCCCAGTCTCTGCTTCACAGAGGACACAGCTGGTGAACTGCCCAGGACTCCCTCCTGGACCACTTGCCCCAGCACCGGGACCCTCAGCTATTGCCATCTTCAGCCTGAACTCCCAGCTGCAAGGGCAGCTGACTCCCTCCAAGCCTGAGGGAATTGGGTTAACGAGCCGAGTCTCTGGGTTTGGGGTGGGGGTGGCAGTGATTCCAGGCACACTGATCTGGGGATGAGCGCACAGCCACTAGAGCACACCCTGGCTTTTCCCAAAAGCTCCTGCAGCCCTTATTTGTTCCCGGCAGTCTGGCAGCACCCTTCCCTCCCTCTCAGCACAAAAAAGCAACACAACAGGAGAAGTCTCCAACCAGGCAACGTTTAATATCTGGGAAACTGCATTCTTTCAGGAGAAGGGGAGTGGGTTAGGACAGTGACCCGGTCCTCCTCCCCTGCATCTGAGAGGCGGCTGGGACAGAGGCCGGTCCACAGGAAGAAAAACAGCACCCGTCTGGCTTCCTGCTGCCCACCCTCTCATGCCACCAACACTGTCCACAGACCTTGGTTGGCAGGGCCCTCAGGGCAAGAGCCCTGCTCGCATCTGGAAGGCCAGGCCGTCCCCTCGGGTTGCTTGCTGGATAAGAGAGCACACAAGAGGGGGCACGTCACAAACAGAGCCAAGAGTGAGCCCTGGGCACAGGGGTGACACCCACCTTGTTGATCTCCTTGTGTCGTTCCTTGGTTACGATTTCCTCTAAGACCTCGCCGTCTCCCTTAATGAGCCTGGGGGAGGAGTGGGAGCAGGCTGAGGCCCTAATGCCAGACAGAGCACCAGAACTGCCCAGCAGAGGGGTGCCAGGCCTCGGGCCCCACCCCTCCCTCTCTCCCACCCTTGGGACAAGGGTAAAGGTGGCCAGGTAGCCTCTGCCATCAGATCAGCCAACAGTGGCATTCTGATCACCCTCGAGAAGGCCCTTCCCGCCCCTGCAATCACTTCGGGAAATGGGGGAGGAATGGCCTCAGAGGTCCCACCGACAAGTGACTGCTTTGCTCCCCACCCCTGGCCTTTTCCGAGAAGCAGCCCCCCACCTGGTGCGGCCGGTCTCCGGGTCCACCACCTTGCGGATGACGCTCTGCCGCGCATCCCACTCCTCCTTGGTCATGGGCTTCATGGCCTGGATTCGAGACTTCTGCTCATCCGTCAGCACTGGAAGGGGAGATGGCAGGGAGGCGGTGGTGGGACCTCCGGGAGGGGACTCCCTCATCCCGCGCACCCGGCAGCAGCCCAGTACCTGGGCCGTCGTCTTCCTCCCCGGCGGGTCTGTGCCACTGGTCCAGCGAGGGGCCTGGCGGCGCCTCGGGCGGCCGCACCTTAGCCTTCTCCTTGCCCTTCCTCTTCAGCCGCTTCTTCCTTTTCTTCCGCCGCCGTCTCTTGTCCTCGCGCTTCTCCCGCTTCTTCCGGCTGCGGCTGGAGGAGGAGGAGCTGGAAGAACTGGAAGAGGAGGAGGAGGAGCTGGACCGCGGCCTCCTGCGGGCCTTGTGCTTGCTTCTCTCTGTGAGGCGGAGAAGGTGAGGGTGGAGGCTAGGAGCGGGGAGTAAGCCCCGTCCCCTTGCTCTGGCCTGTGTCCCCCCCTTTGCTCTGGCCTGTGTCCCCCCCTTGCTGTGGCCTGTGCCCCCCCCTTGCGCGGCCTGTGTGGGCTCAAGCCTAGGACAGAGGGGCTGGCAGGCATCGGCACTCTCCAGACAGGCTCCTTTGGGCTCCACACAGTCACTGTCCAGCAGCAGGGCGGCCGAACCCCACGGCTCAGGCCCAGCCGCACGGGAAGCGTGGCTTAAGCGCCCCGCTAAGCGGCGCGCGCTGCACGGGCCGGCCCAGCCCCGGTCCCGGGTGTCCGTCAGTCCAGACCTGCACGCCCCACTCTGCACCCTCGGACTACTGCTCACGGCGACCTCCCCGCAACCACCCCCAG